ATTTCTGATGCAATACATTGCAAAATTCATAACACTTTTGTTTCTTGTCCTTCTGTGGTGAAATGTTACACAGTTAAATCACATAAAGCTTAATAAAGCTGTTATAATACCTATCTGCAAAATACCCCAACTCTCTTTATTTTGACTTAATGATTGATTCTTTGGTCAGATATGAAGTATGAATTAATCTAGCAGCAAATAGATCAAATTAAGAAAACAGCCATGTAACATTAACGTTATTATAGAGCCACATTTCATGATCTTATTGTTTTCTACCAGGCTGAAGTGATTCAGGTAACTGGGAAGCAGGAGATGGAGGTCCCTTTTCAGTAATTCATCAAATTGGGTTATTTTTTGTTTGTTTTTCCAAATTAATATATTCCCTATTTTTTCCCTAATGTTTCAGGCACCACCATTAAGACTATTTGAGTTAAAAAACAAGCAATTCAGGATTAAGAGGAAAAGCAGCCCCCTTCTACTGCTTATGAAATGAACTTGATTAATAGAAGTTAAGTGGAAGAGGCCACCACCTTAAAACTAGCAATTTGGGTTGTTTGTTGAGGATTTTAAGATGGATTAACTGATTCTGTTTATCAGTCTGGGAAAGGTTATAAGGTTATTGTCAAAGAATTTGAAGTCTTGTATTCCTTAGAGAAAAATGTTGTTCTCAAGTGGGAAATGTTCAAAGAAGCAGAAATTTCCTTTGAGGAGCTGATGTGCCAAAAACTTCTCCCAAAAGCTAGATTGTAAAATGCCAAACCCCCAGGAGCTCCTCATCAGGTTCTATCGGCCTAATTCCACATGGTAAATTATAAAGTTGTTGGCAGAATGATTAAAAAAAGACTTAACTAGTATGGCTTGTTTGGAAAGGAGAAAGACTTCTCTCATTATAGCATGACTCTGCTTTGCAGAGTGGTTACTCAATAAACCACGTACACATTAGGATAAATACCCTCTTAGAAAGATGAGAACAAAGATGAAATTTGTATTCTGAGCAAAAATAAAGTTGGGAGCTGAAGATTTGGGTTTTAATTTTGCAGGCCTAGGACCTGTGCACGGTTTAGTCATTAGGTTGATTACAGGATCATCTGCTTTCCAAACTGTTTTATAGTTGAAGGTGTGTCAATCTGTCTGACATCTAAAGCTTTTCCCCGAACAGGGTCATAAGCAGGACAAATATACTAAACATTGCTTGCATCACATTTACAACCTAAATGGCTGAAAATGAAAAAGAAAATAACAGCTTAGTCAAATCCTAGAGTTTTACCTGAAACTTTAGTAGAGTATGCAGAATATGATAAAATAAAACGACACATATGGGAGTGACTCAGCTGCTCCACACTGATAGCGCTCAATTTAATCGACCTTTGGCAGCTTTATTTTATACCCTATTTAAGTGATAACAAATGCTTCCAAGAGTTCAGACATTGTGTTTTACTGCACAGGTGGTGATCTGCAATGAAATCGGCGGGATATTCAGTGTAAAGGCAGACTCACAAAAATAAAGTCATGCTGGGAGAAATGTTAGGCGAGGATCATGTTAAATCTAAAACAACACGCTGGTTACACTGTTCATAAACCAGCATGTCTGCTCAAACACTACACCTATGTACTTTCCTTATCCAGAGACTCTGTTTTTATAATCCATGTCAGTAAATAAATCCATATTTGTGTGAAAGTACAATTTTCCGTTAAACATGATGTTTAATTAAACATATTTAGTCTTTTATCAACCTTTCCAGAAGCAGTTAATCATTGATTATGTTTTTTTAAAGGGAGGGTTATCTGATTTTCCGAGAGCTTTATAAAACTTCTTGCCTTCACTTGCAGTGACCTTTTGACGGCCTACAAGAAGACAAAGCCATGGGGAATACAAGCAGTGAGAGGGCTGCTCTGGGCCATGGGGAGAAGGCCCAACGGAGAGACAGCCGGGGAATCAAAGACGGGGAGAGGCCCAAAATCCTCATGGACAGCCCAGAAGATGCAGATATCTTTCATGGAGAAGACATGAAGGTATACGCTGATCTTCCTATTTGACACTTTGAATTCCTGCTCCTATTATATTCAAAGTAAAAAATTGGGGAATCTACCATAAGAATCCGTAATGTATTTCAGGCTCCTCTTGAGAAGGAGGAGTTCCTTGCATGGCAGCAGGACATTGAAGCAGAAGATAAAGACCCAGCTGTAGACAGACCAACAGTTTTTCGCTGGACAGGGGATGGAAAAGAGGTCTACATATCGGGATCTTTTAACAACTGGGCAAATAAAATCCCCCTCATCAGAAGGTGGGGCCGTGTCCTAAACTCAGATGTTTCCTCTTTTGCTCATTTTCTAATATTTTACTGCAGAGATTGATTTTGCACAATGGAAAACTATCATTAACATGTTTCAATTTTCTTTCGTCTCTCTAAGTCAGAATACATTTGTGGCAATTGTGGATCTACCTGAGGGAGAACATCAGTACAAGTTCTATGTAGATGGCCAGTGGACCCATGACCCAACAGAAGTAAGCAAGTAAATCTGTTGTAACTTTTCCCTTTGTGAGTTTTAACTACTTTTACAAGCCTTTTGCTATTTCAACCATTCAAATAACACATTCATCTATTTCAGGATATGATGGTTATGACCTCTGCTATATATAATTTGTAGGGCTGCAACTAACGATTATTTTGCAAATCGACTCATCTGTCGATTATTTTTAGATAAATCGATAAAGAATCAATAGCAAAAATAATTCTTACAATTAAATTAAATCAGGTGAAACTAAAACATTTCCACTTGTGAGTTCTGGGTAGAGCATGTTTACATACGTAAACGTGTTTTTTTAAATCTTAAATGCTGTCAGGGTTTGGTTGAGGTTTTGAGGATTAAAATGCAAAGGCAGGGAGGCAGAGTGAGTTCTTGTAGTTTTAATGGAGCGTTCACAAGAAACTGAGGCAGGAAGCCAGAAATCCAACATGAAAATGTAAAACAAACAAGAACCATGGAGACATCAGGGAAAACAAGCACGAGGAACCGGGGAAACACGAGGAACCAGTACTGAGGAACTGCACAGGGAGAGTTTATATGAGAGACTGAACAAAGACAGGACTAACGAGCAGATTGGGAGCAGGTGTGAAGAGAGGCTTCTAGAAGGAGCTAGGGAAAAAGAGACCAACACCAGAGGGCAAGCAAAGAAAAACCTAAGAACTCATATACATTCAGAAAACACCAATAAATCTAGAAAACAAAGAAAAACATGGTTTAACGTAAAATATTAATTCACAGAAAACTTAACAGAACCAAGACCATGACAAATGCAAAATATTTATATATATATTTTTTTGGTTTTGGTATAGTTATTGCTCTAAGTGCGTCATTCCGTCAGCTAAATCCATGTTTTAGAGTCTCTATACTCCAGTTAATGATTAATCAGTTACTAAATTAGTTAATGATTATTTCAATAATCAATTATCTGATTAATTGCTTCAGCCCTAATAATTTGTAGATTTTTAAAAACATTTAAATAATTTTTCAAGTAGGAGTAAATCATTTCAGTCCATCTATACTGGCAGAACATTTTGAAATATTAGATCTTCTTGAATCAACATTTTAGTTTGTTTAGCTGTTAAATTCTAAGTATTTTAATATTTTTTGCATTTGAACTATTTTAGTGATACTGCTGTAATTCCTATTTACTTCTAAGCTCAGAGCTGATCCCATCAGCTTATATATAGTGTTAACAATAGCTTTTATCAGGAAGTGCAGCTTCTCTAGTTATTTCTGCCAGTTTCCTAAAGTTTTAAAGTATTTCAGAAAAAAATGCCAGTAGTTTTTTTTTTTTTTTATTTGTATCGTTTGTTCATTTGATTTTTTTTTATTACTTTAAACAGCCTATTGTGACCAGCCAGCTTGGCACCGTTAACAACATCATCCAGGTGAAGAAAACAGACTTTGAGGTTTTCGATGCTCTGATGGTGGATTCACAGAAATCTTCTGATGTTTCAGGTGAGAGCAAAGAGCGGATAACAAATATTCACTATAGTAGATTAAAGTGTGAAAGCATGACTCCAACACTACGCAAACGCGTCTTGTTTTTGGCCTATTTCTTCATTAATTATTTGCTCCGGCACTTCAATAACAGTCAAGAAGTTAAACTTGGGTAGAATAAAAAGAAGAAAAGAAACAGACTGCTTTACACGAGATATTTTAAGAACTCAAATCAGACTTTTTGTTTTTAAAATCCATAATTAAAACAAGAAAAATCCATCTTCTATTTTGAGAAGACTTATTATGGAGTAACTGTTTAATAATAAATTATTTCGTAAAAACTATAAGTGTAGGAAAATTTAACTTTAGTATTCATGTATTCCTTTCTCATGAGGGAGTACTTTTGAGAACAGCCTTTACTGCGTTTACAGCTGAGGTTATTTTGGTGTGTATCACTACCAGCTTTGCACGTCTAGATAATTATTTGATTATTCCCATGTGGAATAAAAAAAAGTGAAGCTCAGTCATAATGGCCGAGTATTTATTTTATACATAAAATTCCAACCTTGGCTGAATTCTTTGAACTTGTGCCTAAAATTTCCTCTGATCACACATTTAAGGCTGCTTTCTCTGCATGCACGCTGGAAGAGTTCTGGTTGTCAGTAGCAACAGAGTACACGGCACTGTCAAGATCTGCAACTGATAGTCTGTTTCCATTTGCATCCAGGTATCTGTGCCAAAACAAATTTTTTGTGATGACGTACATGAAAAACAAAAACAGAACACAACTCCTCAGAGCTGAGATTGATCTCCGTGTGGCCGTGTCTAACATAAAGCCAAGAATACAGCTGCTTTGTTCAAACAAGCAGGGCCAGCTGTCACATTAAATGGTTGCGAAAGAAAAAAAAAACCTTTCTGCTTTTGACCAGGAAGTGTTTTTTTCTTTTTTAAGCTCTCAGAAACATACATCTTTGAAATTAAACATGGGCTGTTTTCTGCTGTGTTTTGTAGCACATGCTGTTATCGTATAAAGAAATAAAAATATGCGTTATTTGTTTTCATTTTAACAGCAAACTGATAGGTCTGTTCGGACAGTTTGCCTCCTGATGCTGCGTCATTTTTTCTTTGGAAAATACCACTTTTGTTTCAAAATAAAATGATACATAGCTGAAGTGAGTTGGGGTTTGGTCGTGGTCAGGAGTGCATGTTAAATTTGGGGTTGTGACTCAAAATTAGTCAACTCTGAAACCAGCAGTTGTTGGTAGGATTTTAACCAAAGATGGACCTGCTTGTGTGATTCATATCATTGGTCTCCTGGATAAACAAGGTGCTCTTGAGCTTAAGGTTACAAACTGACCACTAATTATAGTTGGCTTTTACTCCTGGGTAGGTTCACCCTGTTCCATGTTTTCCCCGTGGCTTTCGGTAGTCCTATGAGCTTTAAAATGTCTGTAGAACCAAAATGACTGTTGCTCATTTGTTCTGGAATTAGTCTAAACTTAAGCATAGTTTTTAAGATTTTTTTTTATTCATATCATCAAGATAGTTCTTTTTAAGGGTTTCCGTGGTTCTGTAGGTCAGGCATTGAAGTTTCTTGTTTTAATTAGACACAATTCTTAAAGTTTTAAGGACGATGGACACTTTTTAAAGACACTTTTTTTGCTTTAAAGGTTAATCAAACTTATAAAGAGGAAAAGTTCAGATCTTTCAGGTTTTCTATCTGTCTAATAAACCCTTTCTTCCTTTATTAGACCTGTCCAGCTCTCCCCCTGGTCCATATCATCAGGACTCTTATGTTCCTAAACAGGATGAAAAATTTAAGTCTCCGCCGATACTCCCCCCTCACCTCCTCCAAGTCATCCTCAACAAAGACACCGGAATATCTGTGAGTGGACGAGAATTATTTTGGGCTGCGTTTCATTTTTATTCCTATTATAGATTTTACTGTAACAGTGAGATTTCTTTCTTTTATCTTTCTTTTTTTTGGTAAAAGATGCATTTTGCATTATTCATGCTATTTTGACAAAGTGCATCTAAAATAAATCTGCTTCACTGCTTTCAGTTATTTTTTTATTCTTTCTCTTATCTTCAGTGTGACCCTGCATTACTTCCAGAGCCAAATCATGTTATGCTCAATCATCTTTATGCTCTTTCAATTAAGGTAAGGTTTGTACTTGCTTGAACTGCATAAAATAATTCTCTATGTTTGATTTGTATTGTAAAATTCCCCAAGGCAGCTAAGGGAAGCAACAGAAAGAGAGGTGACGTTTTCGTCCTTTAATAAAAAAAAAAAAAAAACTGATTTCATGCTGGAGGAATGCATTTATTATATTTATAAATAATTATAAAAAGCGTCTGGCATCCAAAAGGGAAAAACTCTGAAGGGATCCACAAAAATAACAGCTAACCTATTTTCCAGTTCAGTCACAAACTAGACCAGAAATGCCCAAACTAGATTTGCCGTAGCTTAAACAAAACACGTCTATCCAGGAATTAATCTTGACAAAGCAGTAGGGAGAATAAACGACCAGCTGGTAATGAACCAATTCCACTCCCAGCTTTATTCTCGCTCATTAGAGGCAAAGTGGAATCAGCCTTACACTGTTTGCTGCAGAAATCCCACAGCAGCAGAATGACTCAGGGGGAGGAGAACCCACTCCTACTCCTGACATGTATACTCACCTGATGTGGGAAACCTTTGTGAGAAATGACCAGATTTTATGAGGTTTTCCCAGAAAGTGTAAACTGCTACCATGCATAGCGGCATATGCACACTGTCTGCAGAGCGGATCGTTCTGTATCTGTGGAATGCCAGAAGCGATAAGAAGCTGGCATAAGGAGAGCAGGCTGAAGGACAGATAATTACCCTTGTTGCAACACTCCAAGTGGAAAAACAACCAGAATGTGTTTGCCAATACATACATAGAGACAGCAGTCAGAGACTTAATGCAAAAAAAGAACAAACAAGCAGAAGTCTCATGGTAGATGTTAAACAAGAGTATCCGTTAAAACTAGAGTTTTGTTAATAAGCTTTTGGCCGTATAAAAAAATGGCCTGAAATGTTTAGAGTTTTGTTTGGTTTAATTTATTTCATAATGGATTAGCTTTTCCTATATTTGTGGCATTAAAGCCACATATCTATATGCATTATGCTGCTTTTGAGTAATGAACCAAAGCAAAGTTGTGAATAATTGTGAAGGGAAATGTAAGCAAACAAATAAACCAGATGCATTAGTGATAAAGTTGTGGGGAAATTTAAAAATTCAGAGAGAAATTTCTCAATCAAAAGCAACTTAAAGAGCGTTTCTAAAATTAACACTCTGCACCGGGCTCGTTCTGGGTGCCAAAGCATCTGGTGTTAATATGCAAAGTCTATGCAGGGTCCAGTGTTGCGTCTGAGTTTCAGGGGCAGTGCACCCAAGCGTTCTGGGGTCCATTCGTCTGAACTTTTGCTGCTTAACGCCGGAGCGTCAACCAATCAGGAAAGATGATTTAGGAGTTTGTTTGTTTTTTCGGGGGAAAAAGCTGTCATCACTTCTGCAGACATTCTGCATATGAAAAATAAATAAATGTAAGGAAGTTAAACTCCAAAGGTTAAAAAAAAGAATGGATTGTTATGTAGAAGCAACAGATAGTGAGCTCTGATCATTATTGTTGCACTAAAATATTTTTTTATGAATTATGGCGAAAATGTTTATAAAAACCAGATTAACAAAAAACTATTAAAACCTCTAAACAAAAAAATATCTGATTGTATATTCTTGTACTTGCAGTTTTTACCACAAACCTTAAAAACTCTTTCTATCCACTTTCATCTGCTATTAACAGCAGCACAAAGTCCCCCACAGGCTGCGGGTAGCAGAGAGCTGCCAGCAGGGATTTCCAGAAGAACTGGATATTTTAGTGGGATCATAATCCTGATAAACTGACAGCGCAGATGATGTTTGAACTTTCTCCCTTAAAAACGTGTTAAAACTACTTTTCCAACTCATAAAGTAAATAAAGCTAGGCTGTTCTCTAGCTTGAAGCTACAAAAGAGAGAAGATAAACAACCAGAGCGTTGAAGCATCAAAGCAACTTGATCCAGCATTTTTGACGCCCCTAACGCCTTCGGTACGAACACAGTATAAGGTTCCACTGTAAACTTAAAAGGACATGGCTATCTTATGAACAGATAAATTCAACATTCTTAAGAGAGATCAACAGGTGCATTGTAGCCTTGAAGGACCTGCAGAGATCTCCAGCTCAGGTGTGAAAATCAAAGGACAGGAAGACTCCCAGCTCTTTATGAAATGCCATTAAAGGTGAAAGTCCAGATGGGTAGCTGGTGTTTGCAGTGTGGGATACGCACTATAGTCAAGAGAGAAAACAAAAGGAAACTGTGCAGAATTTACATATGCAAGAGAAATGATTTATATGATTTTCATAAATGAAAATTAAAACACCCAGAATGCATTTATATTCATCCCCAATCACTAAGATACGCCTGAATAAAATGCAGAGATACTCACTATTGCAAATTGAAAATATGTTGCAAGACTAGAAATTTGATGTTCACAGCCACTGACTTAAATTTAGATATTTTGTACATTATAGTAGAATGGGAGAACGTTTAGTGTCTAAATTATCAAACCTTATAGAGACGTACGCCGAAGCACTTGAAGTCATACTGAAAGCTAAAGATGGTTCTACAAAGTATTGACAGAAAATATTTTCACAACCTGGCAGAAACAGTCTTCTTGGATGAATAACCATTGGTCAAGAGTTGTAAGCATATGCCCAAGTTGTGAAAGGATCACACAAGGTGTATGCTCTTAACCAGTTTTTTGGGGGGAAGTAGCTGCCTATTGGTTAGGACATAGAGATTGGAATCCTGAGGTTCCTGGTTCAAGCCCCACTCCCACAGACTGCCACTCTGGTCCATGAGCGAAAAGACCCTTAACCCCACACTGCTCCCCAAAGGGATGGGTTAAATGCAGAGGGTTCATGTTGTTGTTCAGTACTTGTGACAGTGTAATGACAGTAAAAGCTGAAAAATAAAACATTTCCTTCATTAACAATGCAGTATCACACCAATGTCTCATAACATTTTAGTAAAATTCACTGATATTAGTCATCATAACATGACATAATTTTAGGAAGTTCAGGGGTAAAAAATCTTTCATACTCCTGAGGAACTGGTTGATTAGAACTGTTTTCATTGCATTGTACTGGAAATGCAATGCTTTAACAGATCTTTCCTATTTGTTGTCTTTATTTTGTCACAGGATGGGGTGATGGTCCTGAGTGCGACACATCGCTATAAGAAGAAGTATGTCACTACTTTATTGTATAAACCCATCTGATGGACTCCTGTTCCCCTCAGCAGTGTGTGTGCTAACTGTACACCAAGTGTGCAAGATATTTCTTCCAAGCTTTTCTTTTTCTTCCATGGAATATGAAATTAGACAAAACTTGTCTTATACCCAGTGCTGTTGTTACCTTTTTACTCTAAGTTGAGTTGAGATGAAGGAAGGACTTAGAAATATTTGATTTTTATAAAATGTAAACATAATCACTCCCACAAATGTTAATGCTTTTCAGTTAGAAAGATAAAATAGTATGAATAATGATATTTTATATAAATATGCTTTGAGAGGTCATATTATTTATGACATCTTCTTATGCTTTATCGATTTCTGAGATTAGCAACGCTATATTCTGTTATAGCTGAACTTGTTACAGAGGTGCTTTAAAATGTATATGAAATCAGTTCAACATAAATTATTAAAGCACAACCTCTTTTTTTTTGCTTTCAAAGAGTTTTAAATCCTGAGGCTAGCATTTAATCAAAAGGAGAAATCGATGTGTCAGTGTTTTCAATCTATGGGAAGACAGACAGGTACAGATTGGCATAATGAAGGAACATCAAAGTCTTCACAAGCAGCAAAGTAGATTACTTAGAACCTTAGACTGAGAGTTGTTCAATCTTAGGCTAAAGCCTCTGATCTGTTTTTTTTTTTGTATCACTTCTATACTCCACTGACTTAAGAATTGTGAGCGATCGGCCATTTCTACTGACTTGGATCCAGCCCCCTCAAAAGTAAGAATCCAATACCTTCGGAAAGAAGCCATGCGTAGGTTGAATGCTCAAAGCAACACAGTGAGCAATACTGCGAAGGTTGCACAAAGTAAACCCACTATTCTCCAAAGAGATTATTGCTTGTTTGTGCTGTTTGTTAAAATTTGCATTGACACATAAAACATAAAACCGTATAGTTTAAAGACAATATTCCCTCTGCTTGAGAAGAGAAAGGAAAGAAAAACCAAAGCAGATGATTAATCGACAAACTGAGAAAAATGATGAAGAAACC